TTATATCAAGAAAAAATACAAAGTACAACCGGCGGCTAAATAGCTGAAGAGGTGAAGAGCCTCATAGAAAACAAACAATAACGGAAAAGAACTTCTTGCAAACGGCAAAGACTAATGCACTAAGTCTGGAGACACGGAGATCATCCTAAGCTGCAAAACAAAAGACAACACCAAAAGACTTGTTGACCACTGAACCCGTAAGGGTCCTAGCTAAACAGACTCAATGCCAAAAGAACCCACAACAATAAGCCTCAGAGCAATAAGAAAACAACAGCAACCCTTTGTACAACCAACACCTGCCAACAACCAACCAAACACCCACTAACAACCCACAAAGAGAAAAAACAGAAGCTGAGGAAATCAGGAAGAGAGCAGCAACAAGCAAACTAAGCCACAAACAAACACCAAGAAACAAAACAACCAAAAGAAGCAACAATACTAACAAGCCAACCAACACCACTAACAACCAAAACAAGAAAACCAACAGTCAACCCAAACCAACAAAGCAACCATCAAGATCTAATAGGCCAACACCACTAAAAGACCACAAGAAAAAAACAACAACAACTCATAGGCAAGAACCCCAACACCACAAACAACATCACTAAAAAGAAAAGAACACAACCTCTAACAACAACAACAAACCAGTAAAATTCCTAAAAAAAATTAGCCAACAACATAACACTAACCCAGACATAGAGCAAAATTTAACCAATCACAAAAAGATTTAGAAACGATATCAGGTTCAGGTCTTCGGAACTTTTTGAAAATCCAGTTGTTTCTTTCCTTCCAAAGGACCAGAGAATGTAAGCTGTCAGATGCAGCCTTTTTTATGAAGTTTTAGATTTTTTAATAGAGCACAAATGAGACAACCAAGCCTTAAAGCTGCTAGGGTCAAGCTCAGATCATCCCATCTCAGAGGAGAAAGTCTCCATATCATCTTGGAACGAGGGCAATGGAAGAATAGATGATCTTGAGTCTCCTGAGCTTCTCCACATAAGTTGCAAGTTGTGCCTAAGACCAAGCTTTTTTTTAATTAAATTACTACTTACCGGGGCAAGGTTATCAATCCACTTCCAAATAAAGTTCTTAATCTTTCCTTGATTTTTTGGATTCTAGCTCCGTCCTCTCAGTGTCTTCCTGATCAAATGATCCCTACTACTTTCTAAAATGTCCAGTAAGTTCCATTGTCGTTTGAAAAAAATTAAAAAAGGGGTAACTAAAATTGTGGAAAAATGTCAGCATAAATTGAGCATGAGAGCGGCCAACTTGNATGTGACCCCTTCAGGTCTCAAACAATGAGACTTAATATCTCCTTACCTATTTAGGCTATGAGGTTTTCAGATGCTCGACCATACAAACTTTTCGAAGCGCACCCTGTCCTGATTAACCTGAAACCCATCCAGAAGCGAAGCGAAGCGAAGTTCAGCTAAGCAATTTCTTGGTGACAGAACAGAAAACCCCCAAGAATTTAGCCCAGCTGCGTCTCCACCCCCTGTTCGCCAAATGACAGCTTCATCATCTTCGAACTTTCTCTTTGAAGCGTCAGTGGCCAAAGAATCTGTGGAGGGAAAGCTTCTGCCAATGTTCGTCTTTCGTTTCATACATGTTCTGCTACGCCGCTAGTTAGACTTTCCTTACTTGAGTATGAAACTGGAGGAATTTCTATCGAGTAGTCACTCTTAGCCTCTTTCTGTCCTCACTCGGAATAGTCTTTGTTTGTGAAGGACCGGTCTGAAAGTGCAAGACTAGCTGGACCCAGACTGACTAATCGCTAAGAGCTCACCCCGAGTGGGATAACTCGTCTATCGGAAGACCCTTTTTTTTAGGAGTTTACGAAACTTTTCAACAAAGCTCGCATGTTGATAGAGGTCGAAGGGAAGCTTCGAGTGCTTTTTCCATGTTTGGTAAACATAGTTGATAAGTTAGCTTATAACTTTTAAGTGAATTTTGAGTTTATAGTTGATAGCTTATGACTTATGGCTGAAAAACTAGTTTACATGATAAAAGTGCTTAGTAAAATTAGTTGATAAGCTAGCTAAAATAAAATTTTCAATTGACTTATTTGAAAAACTACTCAAGGAAGCTTATGAGTTCGAGTTTTTTTTAAAAAAACGCGTGCTACCAAATCAAACTTATTTGAATACTGAAAGCTTATAAGCTAATCATATAAGTTATAAGTTAGTTTATATGCTTATCAAATACAACCTTATAATTGTGTCTAAGCTTCTTTCTGGTTTGATCAACATTTAAGTTGCCAAAGGGAGATTTAAGGGCCTCTAAATCTCAAAAAATGGGTTGTGTTTGACTCAACTTATCTTTGTTGATGACTTTTAATTATTTGTGGACATTATTGGAAAATACAATTTGTTTTCGTATAAAAAAGCGAATTGGGTTAAATCTTCCAATTTCTTTAGCAGCAATGTTGCTCATGATACTCAAAGAAACACGTCTTCTAGTAAAACCCCCCCAGAAAAAGAAAAAAAAAAAGAATTCTTGAGTTTTTTTCTGAAGTTGTCAGAAATAGAGTACTTAGTTAGAAAAATTAATTATTATCTTGTGTTGGAAAGGAAGTATTGATAAAATCAAATTTTTATGTGTTTTCCATTGTGTTTGTAATGTATTGCTTCTGCTACATGTTGGGATATGCTATACTCTTTTCCAAAATTTTGCTAAATTTTGGTGGCGTAAAGGGGTCTAGTTTCAAATAGGTCTGCACTGGAAAAAATGGGAGGATCTTTCTCTGCCTCAAAAGATGGGTGGTTTGGGTTTCCATGATCGCACTAATCTTGAAAAAGCTCTGAAAGATTGCTACTAAACGCAATTTGCTAGTTAAGGTTTTTTTTTAATACATATTTAAAATATATTTCATGTATTTGCTAGTTAGTTAAGGTTCTTAAATGTACTTTAAAGAACCTTAAAGTACCATAATATATTTTATGTATTTTATCTTAACTAACTAGCAAATACATAAAATATACTTTAAATATGTATAAAAAAAAAAAAAATGGGACAATTATTAGATCTCATCTCTCAACCAGAGATGAATATATACCAAAACATGGGACCATCCTTAGATCCCACCTCTCAACTATTGTAAACTCGTGAGGCATGGAGGTATGTCTTCAAATTTGGTTTAGGTGAGTGAACTGTTGGAAAGGGATGGAACGACTTGTAATGAAGCACTCATCAGAACAACATTTTTTTTTAACTGGAAAGTGATGCTTTTTACATATCACTATGCTTAAACTGAATGAGAAAGACACGATTGTGTGGGTATTTGACAAGAAAGTTCTCGGCGGCTTCTTCTTATGCTAATCTTATAGTGAAAAAGTGGGGAATTCGGACATAACTACATGCAATATGGTTGAAAGTAGAAATAACTATATGAGGAAAAGAAACTGATGAAATTTTAGATTTAAAAGGAAACTTTAGCACTTCATATGGGAATGTTGCTCTGGAATCCTACATGTTCACTGCATCATTTTTAAAAAATGAATCATGTTGATCCTGTCTGCAGGGTTTGTGGAGAAGGATGGGAGACTATTGAAGTGCACGAGAACTAAACAAGTTTGGAAACTCCACCAATCCAGTGGGATGGCCCTGAACATGACTCTAAGAAAAGGTTATGAATCTTTGGGTCTTCCAAAACGTGTTGAAGTCGGAAAAAAAACTATTGTGGAGGTTTCACTGGTGGATTGGATTAAATTCTCTTATTTTTAAGTTCCTTAATTTTTCTATCTAGGCCTTTTATGGTTAAGTGTCTAGTTACTTGAAGATTGTTTTGTTATTTTATGTTTGTAGCTACTTGATAAGTTTGCTAAAAAATCAGCCAACTTTTGCTTCCTTTAACAATTTTATCTTACAGTTGTTTAGACCACATATGTGTGGTTCTCCCTTTTGCCTCATTGTATCGGCCAATTGATCTATCGTGTACTTCTAAATATTCTATCCTTTCGAAAAAGAAAAAACAAAAGAATTATCATAAATGTTTTAGCTAACCAAATTATTAGGCCTTGACGAGAAGGGATAGCTCAGTGGTAGCACTTCTTACTTGGGACCAAAAGGTCTCGAGTTCGAGTCATGCAGGGAGTAAGTGTGAAAGATTCTTTTAAAAAGAAGGAAAAAAAAAAACAACCAAATTATTGGGCCGTATCACACAACATCCAAGCCCATAAAATTTGGACCTTTACATGAAGTTCACAAACGGACACCTTTAGCCTAATACATCGAACCCGAGTTACGTTCTCACACAAAGCCCAAACCCGTGACCAAACATCATCTACCCATGATAAATGACATTCCAGCTCCTTGTAATTAACCCCCACCCAACATCTATTAAAATTCTGATATAAGTTAAGCAGTCCGTTCATAGCCTTAGCATGAGCAGTTATGGATTAGCCATCAACTAATCATCGGTAGGCCATATTCTAATTAGTTATAACATGTCATCAGCTACATTAACATATTGTCTTTTTAACAATCTTATTTAATCCGAATGTTTACGAAAGCTTATCTTTTAGTATTTGAAATGGGTTTTGGAGTGAAAAGTAAATCAAGAACCAATTATGATACTACTAGTACAGAGCGCGCGCGATGCACGGGGTACACAATTTTAATGCTATTTATCCAGACTTATAATTATTTACATGAATAAAGAAAAATGTACGGGATATATATAGTACGTGACCCGTGCAAAGTACGGGATATATTTATTTGGAGAATATTATATTATAAGATGCAATATTCAATAAAAGTTTATAATACGCAAGAAAATTGTACAATGTTCAATAAAAGTTTTATAATATTCAAGTTGAGTCTTAAAATCTCTTGTACATTAAGACTACTGACAAAATAATATTTTGATCAATGAGTTTCCTTTCCTTGTAGCCAAATTGTGAATGTGATTTGAGAAGTACAACAAATCGATATATAGCTGACTTGCTTTTTTCATTGTAGTTTTTTTCTTTTTTTTTTTTATAATGAATTTAAAGTTATTCTAAAATATAGCAAAAATTAATTTTTTTTATTATAATTAGGAATTTTACTAAATATAAACTCTCAATCTATGGTGTTAATCAACGTTTAAGCCTAAAAAATTAGGAATTTTTACCTCTTTTAATTAACGTTTAAGTCTAAAAAACAATAGAGTTGTTATAAGTTTTTTTTCTACATTTTTTAAAACATTAAATATGAGCATGTTAGGGCTAACTTGTAAAATAATTAATATATTATCTCACTAAACCATTTATACTAATAAAAATTTAATTTTAGCATATAATTTATCCCTTGATATAAGAGAAAGTAACAGTTTTACTTATTGTTGTTCACCATATAATATTTAATTATTATTTTATTATATAATAAAAAAATATTGTTAAATAGTGTAGTAGAATTGTTATAAAATTATATGATTTTTTTTTTACAATATGAATTTAATATTTTTTTATGATTTGATAATATAAACAAATCTATACTTAATTTTGACAAATAAAACAAATAAATACTTTAGTAAGTATTTAATGTATATACTAAATAGGAATATATTTGGTATAATCAAATACCAAATATAATCAAATAAGTCGAAGTGTACATTTTTATTTGGTATTTGATTTTTTTATTATTAAAATATTTTTATTATACTTACCTTTTTAAAATAAAATAAATAAATTAATTAATTAAATAAATAAAATATTATAATACCAAAATAGTAATGGCATTTAATGTAGTTGACTTTTCTAGATAGTAAAGGTAGTAAATAGAATCTCCTTTTATGTAAGTATAGATTAATTTATTTTCTTTCTATAATTTAAATAAACAAACGGAATATGACTCTTTTTATTTAGTTAACTAGTGCGTATCCCTTGCGACGCACGGGGTATATAAATTTGGAGAATATTATAATTTGACATGCATTAGGATATATGAGAGTTTTACATACGAACATTATTCAATCATAAAATGTTCGTCACGAAAAAATCTTATATTATTAAAAACTTTTGTGTACACAACATTATGAGTTTGATTATTAGGTAACTCGTTGTGAGGAGCACGGGCCGGACGCGGGATGCACAAAGGGCTATGGAAATTGGGCCTCACACAACTGGACTCCCTTGTTGGGCTTCTTTCCTAGGCTGCTGATGCTGATTGCAGGCGCTGAAAAATTGCCACACACACTTGGACAATTCTTATTTCTAACTATATTATAAATTATATTTTATTCCAAGTTTAAAACTTTTTTATTTCTATTTAATGTAGATAGTTATTTATTCTCAGCTATACTAATAAAGCATGTTTTTAGTTTGAATCATCTAACTTCCTTAATAGTGAGTTGAATAATTTATAGATACAAACATAATTTAATGATTCCTCCTAATTTCTCTCTCCTCTCCCCTATTATTTCATATTCCATATTTCACAATTTTCTCCAAATAAAACAAAAAATTTACATACAACAATTATTAGGTTGACCATCTAATATATCAAAATAAGACTGTAAATAAACGTAAACTTTTCCTTAATAATTTATATATTTTTTTTAAATAAAAATTGTAATGTTTCAAGTTCGACATAAAATTGGTTTGTTATTAATTGTTTATGAATAGGCTATCTATCTTAATTTTTGTTCAAAGTTGGTTTATTTTATTTATATCATCAGATATATCATGTTAGTCACCATTGGGCATAAGCTCATAGGATGTGATGATAAATGTTCGTTTAGATTTTAACATATACAACATAAATGTAAAAAATACAGAGAATATACAGTTGCACAACAATTAGAAAAATGTGATTTTCTTAATCAAATCTTTAGGATAAATGCATCGCCAAATCATAAAATTCCTCAAGCAAGGAGTTCGCTCTTATATATCAATCGAGAATTCAGTGCCGATAATTTGCATTGTTCCAAAAAAATAATATATTTATCAATAAAATAAATAATGTATTTGTGATTAATGAAATCAAACTACGAAATAAAGAAAAGAAGTAAGAAATGAGCAGTCGTTGGAAAAAATTCTATTGTGCGCGAGATTGTTTTTTATCAATTCAATATTTATTTTTACTATAGTAATATAGGTTATAATAACGCAAGAAAATGATGTAAATTATATTACTTAGGAAAATCATATATTCACTACAAAAAGAATTCATAAACATTGAAATGTTAATGTATCATAGTTTTTACATTTTTTTATACATATTTTGTATCTATATTAATATTGATTTTCGTTTGGATCAATTTATGACATGTAGGTGATATGTAAATATAATTTGATAATATCCATTAATTACCCTAGTTTTTTTGGTTTCTATAGATACTCGGTTTTTTAAAATTTGAATGTCTTGTTCTATTCAATTTTTAAAAACAATTAATATTTATTTTAATATAAAACATATTTTTAAATTTAGATTATGTAACTTATTTATTAAAAAAAATAGTTATTTTTTTTAAAGTACTTGATTTTGTTAAATTAATCATTTTAGAATTTTGAATTTATGAAACATTGGAAGAAGATAATCTAAAATATCCTCAAAGCTCCCTACGAAAAAAAATTGCATTGTTTGATAAGTATAAACTCACCCAATTAGTCCATACATGTAAAGGATAATCAAATCAGGTTAAAAAATAAAAAATAACTCAAAGATTTAGGTTATTTTAGTGGGCTATATATTGACCACGGAACAAACAATTTGAATTCAAGATGAAAACCTTATCTCTAAAATCCAAGCCGAGATTTTGACTCCTACAATGATCTAAAACCCACAATTTGTGGCAACATTTAATGTTAATTATTTTTTTAAAAAATAAAATAAAAA